CGGGCTATTTTCCTATGTATTTATCTAAATTTTGACAGTTCTCACGAAAATTGACTTTTTTTGAGGGGGGGTGGCCTTAAAATGAATAAATCTTCTTCGTAAACTTGTCTTGGATGAGATGCAAAGAACTGCTGTTCCCAATCGTTGTGTCCGAGGACTTTCATAATATTACCCATCTGTGGTGCGGAAAGATTTCGTTGATTTTGTTCAACAATGTCCGAGCGAGCCAGTGGTGGAACTGGCTGTACCATATCTGTTAGCGATGGAGCCCGACTGGTTGGATCACAGGCAAGCAAGTTGTAGAGCAGTGTCGAACCAGTTCGTGGTAGACCACACACAATTAGTGGCCCAAAATTAGTGAGCGTCGAGCTCGCTTGTTCAAGATGGTTAGCCGCATAGTTCAGTACACGCTTATAGTTTGCATATTTTTGTTCCAGCATCTGGATAGAAATGTGGCGACCCATCGGTGTCATCCAATTGTTAGTGCTTATCACGCTAGCATTCTTATAAAATGCTTCTACGACCTCAGTATGAAAACTGAATCGTAACTTCGCTGCTTTACTAAGACCTTCATCGCTGAAATTTGTGGAGGCGAAAACCCTTGGCGAAGATCGATTTTCCTTTCTTCTCCTCTACTGGTGAGTTTACATTAATGTCTCCTTGCATACTTCTCCGGTGATCAAGATTATCTAAAAAGTGAATACACACCACACTCCAGCAAAGTGTCGCTTTCTGGATCATTTTGTTGGAATACTTGTGCTTTGACATGACGAGTAAAACAATATCTCACTTTTATCTTGGCCTCTTTACTTCTCGATCATCTGAACTAAGGTTCAACATGCGATCCTAGATATAGATATATCCAGCATCTATATACACTCAAACTTTAGAATATAGCATTGAGGTGAGCTCATATTTCTCAAGTTATTTTTGTCTAATCATTTATAGAAACTTACTAACGAAGCGTATTCACAGTTGGTCTAGAGACTATTCGGGTGTGGGTGTGGGTGTGGATTGGGTGTGGGTGTGGGTGGGTGTGGGTGGGTGTGGGTGGGTGTGGGTGTGGGTGTGTGGGTATGGGTGTGGGTGTGGGTGGAGGTGGGTCTGGTTGTGCAGATGGATGTTCTCTTGAATCACATTTTCATACTCACACCCACATCTCAAAAGGAATTTTTCAAATTTTTGACTCTTGTCGGCAGGATATTACCGCATTGGCAACATCACACCAACAGGTACAGAACCATGGTTTTGTTCTGAAAAACACATTTTTGCTGTCCCTATGCTACAGCAACACAAAATATGCAGGAAAACAGTTTTTTGCGAGTGTGGGTGTTGTCTTCACCGATACCTATACCCACCCTACCCACAGCCACACCCATTCACACTTCCACCCACGCCCACCCACGCCCACACCCACACCCACACCCACACCCACACCCACACCCACCCACACCCACGCAGACCCATTTGGTATGGATGAAAGATCTGCATTTTTTTGACTACTTTTTTAATTCTTTTTGAAATTATAATTCCCATATGAAAAGCTTCAGTATGGATCTGGGTCTGGATCTGGGTGTTGGCGGGTCTGGGTCTCGGTCTGGGAGTGGGTGTGGGCGTATTATTGATGAGATCTCAACTTCCAGACCCATCCTCACTCACCCACACCGTATGATAGGATTTCAGATCATATCGAACTTGTTAATCTTGTGTAGTTTTTTTATTGAAAATATTTTGGTCATAAATATTGCCTTGACGTCACTTGTTCTTTACACTAGACTAAATAACAGAGTATATTAAATGTCAAATACTTCATTTTTCTCATAAAAATTCGAATATTGATTTGAATAAGATGTAACACTATTCGAATGATTATTTATAGACTTCAATAGCTCATCTAATAAGGAAGAACTATCAAAAAAAAAAATACAAAGGATGAAAGCGAAAGCATAAGATCAAATTGGATATTGATCGTTTATAGCTCAGATCCAGTTGAAATATGTGATACACTATCAAAAAATGAATCCTTTCGTTGTGATAAATCGATATATCTGAAGAAATTCAGTTCTGACATCGCTTCATTTGCACAAAGCTCTATATGAAATGATGGACAAAATACATCTGCACATGAGAAACCAATCGAGGTCAACTTCAGAAATTACTTGTGTTATTTGAGAAATCTGTCTCATTAGAAGAGTTAGTGAGGTCTTTATTAAATCGTTTGCAGAAAATGTTGTACTTGACTTTTTACTATTGAAATATTTTGATGATATGCGGTTTAATTAACTCTCTACCCATGATAGGATCTAAACGGATATGGTGCTGATTACAAATAAAGCTCTTTATGAAGAATGACAGCAATGGAAGCAAAGCACATAAAACTATGAGTAAAGATAACATGAGTCATGAGTGACGGTTTGCAGAATCGAAGCATCTTCGGTTTGCCAGTAGAATGCATACACCATCGACGAGCCAGTAGCTTGAAACATGCAGAAAAGAACAGAATTATACAAACATGGTGTTGTGGGAGAGAAAGCTCGAACGCGATTCTAATTCTCGAGAAAAAAACACAATGCCGCTTTGGTGACCGGACTTTTTGTTGCAAGACAAATCGTTGCGGACAAATCGTTGCAGACAAATCGTTGCAAGGACATTTCGTTGCAGGACAATTCGTTGTAGGAAAATTAGTCGCGGACATATCGTTGTGGACAATTCGTTGCGGACAAATCGTTGTAAAAAAGTCGTCGCATGGACAAAACGTCGAGGGACAAATAGTTGCACGGACAAAACGTTGTAGGGACAAATAGTTGCACGGACAAAACGTTGTAGGGACAAATAGTCGTATGGACAAAACGTGGTAATAGTCTATAATTTGCTGTATACAATATTTGAAAAATGTCAGTGCCAATGTGATAGTTTAAAAATTATTTACTAGGTTTCTTTCCTCTGCATTTTTATATGTAGAACCCTTCCTTCTTTTTATATGTTCTGTGTACGTTTTATTTCACTTTTTTTTTCTCTCTCTCTTCTCATTTCTGGTACTGTTAGGATCTTAGGATCACAGTTATTGCATAATAAAAAAAAAAATTATTTACTAAATTTTTGTAGACAATGATTGGTTGATTCGTTGTTATACTTCTAGAATAATAAATATTTCAAAAGAATGGAATAGTTGACATATTGGAAAATGAAAACTGAATTTCTTATCTATTATTGTAGAATATAAAATTTGACGATTGCAAGGTTTTGTCCATGCGACTATTTGTCCCTACAACGTTTTGTCCTGCAACGTTTTGTCCCTACAACGTTTTGTCCTGCAACGTTTTGTCCTTGCAACGTTTTGTCCGTGCAACTATTTGTCCGCAACGTTTTGTCCGCAACGATTTGTCCGCAACAATATGTCCGCGGCTAATTTTCCTACAACGATTTGTCCTGCAACGAAATGTCCTTGCAACGATTTGTCTGCAACGATTTGTCCGCAACAATTTGTCCTGCAACGAAAAGTCCTAGAACCGCCGCTTTATCATTCTTCCCTGCTATTGAAATATTTCTTATGCATATTCCGAAAGAACTTTCACGTCACCCTTTGTCATCTGCAGAAAAATATTCATACTAATTTTTTAAAATTTTATTATCAAATAAATGAAAATGAACATATTTCAATTTTTACATAGAGAAAACTAGCAAAAGCAAAATGTATCAATATGATTAATGTTGTCCTAACACCAGATTTGCATCATTTTAGAAGAGCATCGTAATCGATAGGATCGACTAAATGGAGATTGATGTAATTGTTTGTCAAATTAAATATCGTACAATATTCGTTAGACATATCGATAAGTTTTTAAGACATTAGATGTTTTTTTTTATGCATAACGCTTTAAAATGTGTACTTTTCATCGTTCAGTAATCGTTTCACAGTTTAAGCATGTTTTATTTTACACGTTTGAGTTTGAGCTTTTTCATCAAGTGAATCTGTCTAAAGAAAAAGAGACAATACTATAGTTTAAGCTTCTTTGAGATATTGTCATAATGATTTCATAATTATTTCAACTTTGTTTCCATCAAGACACATTATCATGTTCCTTAAACATTAGTATCTGTTCCAAACTATTCAAATCGTAACATAAAACATTGCTGAAGAAATATTTGATGGTGCATGTTGATATGCAATATTGATGATAAAATAAAAGTTTTGATGTGTGAAGCCACTATTCGGTATTACAAGTTTGGTACTACCACGGGGTCATATTCAACACATAGTGAGTCAACATCATCAGATTCAGGAAATTATCGCGATACAAAGGTAGGTATTATTGAAGAAGTCTATCAGCAGTGCCAAGAAAAAGTTCTTTTCGATAGATATCATATTGAACTGCGAAAATTTACTCAAGTAAGACTTGACGATAATAATAAACAGCCTCTATCAACAGACGAAATACATAAATTGTGTGAATATTCTTGCAAAAATTTATAGCCTAACGATGTACCATATATTACGGTAGATACAATATTCGAAAGGATTTCTAAGTTATAGAAACCTTATCGAACATATAATATTGCAGAAACAGTGATAATCGAAGATTCTATTGATGACATTTTGGTTTGTTTTATCTTACATTCGAACATCTATGAAAGTGTATCATTAAAAAATTGCAAAAATATTTTTAAAAAAAAAAGAATTCTTTATTAGAAGGATGCTGAGCTTCCTAATGATGAGTATGGCAAATGAAAATGTGTAATTTGCCTTGTTCACGCAATGTCTGCATTCATATATAAGATTCTCTTTGAATTGAAGAGACGGTTGTGGGCTAAGAGATTATTGACATCCACACCCTCACATTTACATTCTTTCTATTAGTGACAAATATAATAAAAGTATTATTTGTTTTGGACAATAATATATATTTATCACATTTAAATGAACGCATTTCATGTTTACTTTAAAAAAAGACGAAAGATTAACTTAATCTGAATTATAATAATACTTCGAATGCGAAAGTTTATATATCAATATTAGCAATACGGTGAACGAGTTCGTCGAAGTTATAACGAATTTTCTTTGTTGCTGGTGTTGATGGTATTGTCATAGTGCCTGTTAATTCTTGATAATTAATTAAATCAGGTGTCAAAGTCATAACACAATGTGCAAACCAATTATATGACTTAACAATTAAACATCCTTCATGTTGTAACTATAATTATAGGGGGTAAAATAAAGTCAAAAATAACAAAAGAAACAGTATTATAAACTTACAAGTGCTGCTAAACCTCGATCAGACGTTACAATAATTGTACGTTTATTTTTTTCACGATTTTCAGGTTGTCGTGAGATTTCAACTAACATATCATCAGTTGTTCGATATTTTGGTTGAGCACTTGAAATTTTAACTGTACCAATTTGATCTAATTGATGTGTTGAATCAAAGATAAGTTCAACATATGGTATATGCATTTGTTCATTCCATGCGGAAGCTATTTCTCCTAAAGCACGTTCAGTTTTTTTACCAGAACGATTTAAACATAAACGACGAAGAGAATGAACAACAAACATCATATTATTTCCATCTAAATAAACTAGCTCGATATCACGTGGCCAATCATCGCGGTTATTTATTTTTATATAACCATTTTCAGCTTCAGCTAATATGTTACGTTGCTAAACAAAAGTCAAATGAACTTACTTGTTCTTTTTGTTCATGTTTAAAATTGAGTCTTACTAATTTTCGTCCATCTCGACATTGGTGACGTTGTTCTCGTTCTTGTTGAATTCGAGCAACTGTCATTTCAATTGATTCATCACATTCATGAAAGGTTGCTAATACTTTCATTGGATTTCCATGTATGCCAGCTGAACGAAGTCGTTTAAGATTCTCAATATCATCAACACTTAGTTTCTGTTGTTTTCTCAATGTTGATCCTGTTTCATCAGTTTCTTGTGCTTTATTGTGATGTTTATCTCGATCTTCTCATCTTCTTTCTTTTCTTTCATTTAAAAGTTGTTTAACAACATCAACTTGTTCATCAGTCTTTTCTAATAAATGTATTAAAATTCGTTTATTTTTAGTTATTGTACCATCAGTTTCAAGTTGAGCAATTTGATTTGCATATTTTGCATGAAGTTCTGTTATTTTTTCCTTCTTTGCTCTATGTCGTGACATTCTTTCCATAACCTATTATTATATTAAAATACTCGATCATGAATCGTTGTATTCTTCAAAAATAAACAAACAAGAAAGAAATATCCAACCTTGGTAACATCGCCTTGATTTTTCTCCAATTGTCGAAGTACACATGGACAATTAACATTAATACCAGCTGTACTTAATTCAGCTAATTGAGTAGCATATTTTTCTCTTAATTCTTTTCGCTTTTCATGTCTAGATACGTTTGAATTTTCATCATGTTTATGATGTTGTTCTCCACAAACTTGTAAAAAATCACGAGCTTGTTCAGAGTCACCACTAAAATGTTCCATAATTTTCAATAAACGAATACGTTTCATTGATTGAGTTGATGGTAATTCTTGTTGTAATGTCGTTACTGCTGCACCAAAACGTGTTTCAAGTGTAGTCCATTTATTAACACGATATTCTCGTTGAACTAGACGTGCACGAACCTGATTAAATTTACAAATTCAAAAAATTAAACAAAAATACATTTTAACCTAAAAACAAAATTATAATTTTTTTACGCTGATATATAAAAATATATCGAGCAACCTCCATTCCCCCGCATTAGAGGTATTAGCGGGCAATAGAATACATATTAAATTGCAAAAAAGTATAATATACCTGATCAATATTACCATTGTGTCGTTGTAAAAGACGAATTATTTTATCTTTCGATTCTTGTGGGAAACGTTCTTGAAGAACGAGTAACTTCTCATCATATTCTTGTTGATTTGTAACCATAGTTGTAATTTGTTATGAATAATATGAAATGAAACAAATCACAGAAAAATCTCGCTTTTTATACTGGATAAATGAATCATCGTTAGAAGAGTTGCGCAATTATGATCAAATAGTATTACTAATTCTTTTTTCCTATTACAGCAATAAAAACTTTAGTAGACGTGGCAATATATGAATATATATACATACAATCATACTTTAGTATGATGAATAATTTGAATGAAAAAATTGCATTCAACAAAACTGTGTGATATAAGGAGACTAAAAAAACACTAATAATGAAACTACAAAAATGATTCCATTTTTATTGAAAATAATTAACCAAGAGCTGCAACACTCAGGATTTTAAATATACCTGTTTTGCACAAGGATATGAGTGTGCATCAATGCTGCACTCACACCCTGTACATTGTATTATGGGTGTGGGTGTGGGATGTGGGTGTGGGTGTGGGTGTGGGTATGGGCGTGAGGTGTGGGTGTGGGCATCGGTGTGAGTATAAGTCTGTTCTTTGAAGCCACACCCACACCCACACCAACACCCACACCCCGTAACACTCCTGCTCAGTAATCCTTTTCATTGCATTTTTTGATGAAATTTTAATCATTTTCATACGTATATTGACTTTAGTGGAGATGTAATTATTTTGACAAAATGAAAATGTCAAATATTATTCATTACCTCGGCATACGTGAAAAAATCGATCTTTTCATTATAAAAGATGACATTTCGTCATTTTCTTTTCATCAAAGAAAGGTAATAGTTTTGATGAAGGTTTGAAGAGATGCATATAAATCACCGTTAGTCAGAGTTTCTTGCTTATTATCGATTTTGTAAAGTCCTAAAAAGAAAAATATTCGTGGTGCTGCTCCAGTATGAGCTTCTTTTTTGGTAATTAGTGGTCGAATTTCGTGATATTCTGGTATTCGATACTCTTCTCTGGTTTCGATTTTCATTGTAAATAAGCCTTTCTCGACGACTTTTTCTTATTGTATTTGTCGGTTAAATGGAATACCAAGGTCGACCAAATGATTTATTATCTTGCTTCCATTAAGGATATAATAGTCTTCGCTCCAGGTAATGCTTTCTTGTGATGAATAAGTAAAACAAATACGTGATGGAAACATTCATAGTCACCTGGTTGCTAAAATGGAATAAAAGAAAGGATCGATAAGAGAGACACTAGTTGATGTTTGTCGGTTAAATGAAATACCAAGGTCGACTAGATGATTGATTACCTTGCTTCCATTAAGGATATAATGGTCTTCGCTCCAGGTAATGCTTTCTTGTGATGAATAAGCAAAACAAATATGAGATGCAAACATTCGTAGTCAACTGGTTGCGACGTTGGACGAATGAGAAACACAGCGAAGATGAAGGAGCAAAAGATGTGCTTCTAATCATAACACTCGATCATGATAGGGGAAAATCTTATTAGAATAATGAATTTTCTTTCTTGATGGTTGTAACAGTTGTTGTCTTCTCAAGAGAAAAAAGTAATTTTTTTCAGATTGATGTTCAACCAACCATGATGAATTCATTCAGTAATAGCTTAACATCAAAGAATGTAAGTGGATATACCAGCAAAATCGCCTTATTTAAAATTATAGAAAAAGCCACTCACTAATTTGTATCTTTTCTCTATTATTCGAATAGACTCCGATGGCATTTTTGTGCATAAATAGCTCTTAGTATCTTCTGAAAAGCTTCAAGGGCACGAGCGTTTGAAATGCTTTAGCGATATCTTTTAAGAAAACTACAATTGTATTTCCATGTGAAATAGGTTGTGTATTTATTATAAAGCACTGCCAATACACTTCAAATCCTTATGTCTTTGCAAGTTTTTAGTGTACACTATAAGCTACCTATGTGCAAAAGATGGCGCTCGTGTCTACTCGCATAATAAAGAAAAGTGCTAAAAACAAGTAACGTTCATCGACATTAAATGTCGATTCACTTGGCCCTAGACTGACGGAATGATGACAAAGATGTCCTTATATTTTTAAATAAAAATGAATTCCGTATAATGATGAGCTTAGGAGAAATTATTAATATTTGTAACATTTTCTGTATTATATATTATACATGTATTCAAATAGTTCACAAAAATATTAAAAGATGCTAATGTATATGAAAAACTTTATGCTTTAGTTAATTATAACGACTAAAATGCTGATTTATGTTAAAGTAATGGTCATTTCTAATACGGACATGGCAAATTGTGACACAGACATAATCATTTGAGCCATACGAATGGTGAACTGTGTCATAGAAAAGGTTGATTGCGCCGTGAAAATACTGAATTGAGCCATACAAACGGTCATCTGTATAATGAAAATGGCCAATTGTGTCAAATAAATGGACCCTGTATCACCAAAGTGGTACTTTTGCACTATGAAAATGGTCAGCTGTACCACGACTATAGTACTTTGTACCACAAAAATGGTCACTTGTACCATGACTATGGTACTTTGTACCACCGAAATGGTCACTTGTACCAAGTGTTACAGACAGACCGACCGACAGACACAGGTGAATTTCCGTTTCTAGACCCTAGCCTTTCAGTCTAGGGAACACTAATAATGAAACTACAAAAATGATTCCATTTTTATTGAAAATAATTAACAAAGAGCTGCAACACTCAGGATTTTAAATATACCTGTTTTGCACAAGGATGTGAGTGTGCATCAATGCTGTACTCACACCCTGTACATTGTGTTATGGGTGTGGATGTGGGCTGTGGGTGTGGGTGTGTGGTGTAGATTTGGGTATGGGGTGTGGGTGTGGATGTGGACTGTGGGTGTGGGTGTGTGGTGTGGGAGTGGGTTTGGATGTGGGGTGTGGGTGTGGGCATCGGTGTGAGTATAAGTCTGTTCTTTGAAGC